TATAAATGTTTGTTTGTTGGCTAACATAACATTAAATATTAATTCATAAACATACCTATGAATGAGTGGAAATTCACTTTTTTCTATAATTTGTAGAATATCCCATTTTAAACTTATAATAAGCATTTCAAAAATTCATTATTCTAGAAATTTACATAAATTAGAATCTGGCTAGATTAAACAGCTTTTACCAACTGCCTAATGCCTCCAAACACCTAAGCCCTTAGTTTGTTTTTGCAGTTGCTGATCTTTCTGCTAGAATATTTAGAGGAAGTGTGATTTTAAACCAAACACACCTGATATCAGATTCTTGCTGTAATGTTTATTCACTAAAATATGTTAATTAAATATCTCTTTTTTTTTTATAAGGATAATAATACCCAGTATAGGGTTGTCATTCAGGTTAAATTAGATCATATGCCAAGCACTAAGTGCTTTAAGCATACATTACGGGATTTGAGTAGATGACAATTACTATCAGCTACGTGGGGATACTGAAGTGATAAAGCATTATTTAAGACAGATACCCCTTATGAGTAATGCACATTCTGTTCAGATATTTCAGAGTCGGGTTTCATTGTACAATCTTAAAATTTCTATTAGGAGAAATTGTGAATAAAAATTATTGTTATTGATGGTTTAATGTGATATAATCAGAAATATAAAATATTCATAAAACACTTCTGTCAGATTTTATAGAACTTCTTTTCTTTTTATATATCGAATATGAATGGTAATTATTTTCTTTGAATCTGGAAAACTAGCTATGTTTGTACTTTTTAGGTGAATATAGGCATTATGACACTCACTACTATGTACTCCATGGTATAGTTCTGTATGTACATATGCTGTCCCCTTTAGAAAGTTGGAATTTGTTAGGAGTAGAGCATATAACTGACTAACTTATGTACACTTGCCTACTTCCCCTTCTACTATTTTATTTATGTGGAAAGGTAGCATTTTTTTCCCTTTTCTACAGGAAAAGGATATAACCTTAAGACACCTCTTGACCATGAGGAAAGATGAATTTACAAAGGTTAGTATCAAGTTCAAAAACTCCAGATATAATCTTCGATGTTTCCTAAATTGTGGATATTTTTATTTTGTATTTTAAAAATCCTAGGGGTACTGACTGTGATTAATCTTTTGCTGAGTTCTTGACTAGATATGATTGTGGATAGCCATATCTAAAATCTTGTATTACAGTATTAAGTTACTTTAAGAACATTTAAAGACTTAAAGTGGTGAGTTTTTTCTTCAGATTGTCATGACATCTCAACTAAAACTGGTGCTTTATTTCCAAATGTGAAATAGATTTGTAAAACGGGCTACTTAGAAATAAGAAGTATTTTTTTTATATGTGGGTATGAACATGTGTCTTCCAAATACTGCCTTTTGCTTGGTTCTCAAAACCATTAAGATCTATTATTTTGCCATCTAATATTAAGTAACAATAGCTGTGGGAAGTATTAGAGATACTTTGATAAATAGGATACTTAAAAAACAATGATCTTGATACACAAACATAGGTTTCAGTTGGAAACCTGAAATCTTTAGTATCACAAAAACCGAAATATGCATACTACTTAACTAAATCCAAAATAGAAAATTTAGTTTAATACTAAAGGTAGAATATACACAAAAAGAGGGCTTAATTCCCACTTATTGCTGATAATATTTGAAATACTATCTTGAAGGAAAATTGTTTTATTGTGTTTTTTTGAAAGATTATATATTAAAATTTAGTCATTTGTTTTGAGAGTCTATCACAATTGTTATATACTACAAGAAAATTGACTGTAGTCCCCATGTATCTAAATATTTTAATGATGTAACTAATCTTGTCAATCACAGTTACGAGCAAACCGTGTATTTTTTAGTATGTTTGTTGTTTTTCCAATATGTATCTTTTTTCAAGATGTGAATTCATCAAGTAGAAAACATCTTTAGTAATTTTGAATATTAAATTATTTTAGCATAACTACCTTACTGCACTTTAAAATTATTTCTACTTAGAATGGAATTACCAGTAAAGATCAGCAGAAAATTCTGTCTGCTCTTAAAGAACTAGAGGTAGAAGAAATAAAATTTGGAGAGTTACCTGAAGTGGCAAAGTTGGAAATCAGGTAATAACTTACTGATTTACATTAATATTGTCTAGAACCAGGTATTCTTTTTTAGGTTAATTTGGTAATGTCTAAGTCATTTTAATTGATACCATCGTTTTTCCAGAGAAATAGATTTCGGAATATACTGAGTTCTAAAATGCGATGCACTTTATATAGTCAATTTTTATGAAGTCATTTTACCAAGAAGCAAAGCAATGCATCTTCTTGTTAACTCACATGGAAACATTTTTGTTTTGTTTTTTCATTGTACCATGCTAGATTGGACTATATAAGAGATACCATGCTTTTCATAGTATACCTTTTACTCTCTAAATCATTTAAATTAAAATTTCAAAGTAGTAATATTTTTGCTTGGGGCAATAAGAAAGCATTTTTCATGAAGCTCAGCTCTATTTTTAACCTTACAGAATGAGAAATTATGTTATCAGTATGTAAAGTTAACATCCAGTATTATAAACTTGTCAAGCACTGATTATTAATAATCTAAAATCTATTTTGAAAATAATGATATTTGATTTTATTAATGTATTATAGAGCTGTACATGATTTTTTTAACTTTTTATTTTGAAATAATTATAGATTCATAGGCTATTTCAAAGCAATATACAGGGTGGTCCCAGGTACCCTTCACCTAGGTTCAGTGTTAATATCTTGCATAACTGTGAAAACCAGAAGATTGACATTGGTATAATCCACAGAGCTTATTAATGTTTCACCAATTATACATGTACTCACTTGTGTGTATGTATTTATAACTTTGTGCAATTTTATCACATGGGTAGCTTCATGTAACCACAACCACTATCAATGTACTTAATATATTTACTGCAAGACTCCCTCATCCTACTACATTAAAGCCACATCCATCCCTCTCTACATCCCAGCCCCTACCAACCAATAATTTATTCTCTATCTTCATAATGATGTTATTTCATAAATGTTATATAAATAGAATCATAAAGTATGTATCCTTTTGACATTGCCTGCTTTCAGTCAGCCTATTTTCCTTGAGGTTCATCAGAGTTGTTGCATGTATCAATACAGTAGTTCATTCCTTTTAATTGCTGAGTAGTATTCCATGGTATATATATACCATAGTTAGTTTAACCATTTACCCATTGAAGAACATTTGAGTAGATTTTAGTTTTTGGCTATTCCAAATAAAGTTGCTATGAACATTTACTTACAAGATTCTGCTAGAAAAGAAGTTTTCATTTCTCTGGGATAAATGCCTAAGAGGACAATCGCTAGGTTGTATGGTAGTTGCATATTTAGTATTTTTTAAAACTGCCCAACTGTTTTCCAGAATGGCAGTACAGTTTTATATGCCCACTAACAATCTGTGAGTGACCCATTTTCTCTCTATTCTCACCAGCATATGGTGTTAGCACTATTTTTTTAAGCCGTTCTGATAGGTATGTCATAATAGCTTACTGTGATTTTATTTGCATTTGCCTAATGACTAATGATGTCAAACAGTTTTTCATGTCTTATTCGCCATCTGTATATCCTGTTTGTTGAAATGTCTAACAACGTCTTTTGCCCATTTGCTACTGGATTGATGTGGGCATTGTCTACATTCAAGTCTTTTGTTGGATATGTGATTTGCAAATATTTTTTCCTAGTCTGTAATTTTTCTTTTCATTTTCTTAGTGGGGGTCTTTCACAGGGCAAAATTTTTTATTTTGATGAGGTCTAATTCCTATTCTTTTATTCTTTTTCAAAATTGTCTTGGCTATTCTAGGTCTGTTTTCTTTTCATATACATTTTAGATAAAGATGAGAGTTTTTATAGTAATTGCATTAATCTTATTGATTAATTCAGGCAGAATTAACATCTTGACTGTATTAATTCTACTAACCCATAAGCTCTGATATCTCTAAAAGTTTTAGGTTTTCTTTGTTTTATTTCATCAGTATTTTATAATTTTAATTACACAGATCTTGTACATATTTTGTTAAATTTATACCTAAGTATTTTATTTTCTTTGGAGCAGTTATCAGTGGTATTGATTTTTTAATTTTGGTTTTATGTGCAGTTGATTTTTGTGTTTTGGTCATGTATCCTTCAACCTTGCTGAACTCACTTATTAGTTCTAGGAGCTTTTTTTGTAGATTCTTTGAGATTTTCTAAATAGATAATTATGTTGTCTGCAAAAAGGTTAATTTCTTGCTTATAATGTATATGTCTTTTATTTGGATTTGTTTGTTTGTTTGTTTTTTGTCTCATTCAGTGGGCAGAACTTCCAGTACTATGTTGGATAATAGTAGTGGATAGTGGACGTTCTTGCCTTGTTCCCAGCCTTAAAGGGAAACCATTCAGTTTTTTTACTATTAACTATGGTGTTAGCTATAAGGTTTTTATAGATTCTCTTTATCACATTGAGGAAATTCTGCTGTATTCTTATTTTTCTGAGAGTTTTATAATGATGGTTGTTGAATTTTGTCAAATGTGTTTCCTATACCAATTGATATGATCATAGGACTTTTTTATTTATCCTGTTGATATGGTAAATTACATTGTTTGATTTTTAACTACTGAACCAGCCTTGCATACCTGGGATTAATCCCATGTGGTTGTGTTTTATTATTCTTTTTATGTATTTCTGGATGTAACTTGCCAGTATTTTGCTAAGGATTTTTGTATCTAAGTTCATGAGAGATATTACACTGTAGGTTTGTTTTTTATACTTTGTCTAGTTTTGGTGTTAGGGAAATGCTGGCCTCACAAAATGAGTTGGGAAGTGTTCCCTTCTCTTTTATTTTCTGAAAGAGATTGTGTAGAATTGATGTTAATTATTCTTTAAACAGTTTATAGATTTCTTCAGTGAAACCATTTGGGCATGGAGATTTTAGGAGGGAACTCTTAAAATACAAATTCAATTTCTTTAATGGTTATAACACTATTCAAATTTCTTCTCTTATGTTGGCTAAATTTTGGTAGTTTGTGGTTTTAAGGACTTGGGTCATTTTTTCTAAGTGGTCAAATTTGCAAGCATAAAGTTGTTTCTAGTATTTCCTGTTATACTTTTGATGGCGTTGGGATGTGTTGTAATATCCCATTTCATTAGTAACATTGATGATTTTTGTCTTCTCTCTTTATCTCTGTTAGTCTTGCTAGAGGTTTATCAATTTTCTTTCCAAAGAACCTGCCCTGCTTTTTGTTTCAGTAACTTTTCTCTATTATTTTTGTTTTTAATTTCATTGATTTCTGCTGTTATCCTATTGTTTCCCTCCTACTTGCTTTGAATTTGTTTTGATCTTCTTGCTCTAGCTTCTTGGGGTAGAAGTATAGATTATTTGCAACATTTTTT